ACTGATTTGCAGTTGACATTTTTCTATTACAATAAAATTTGCTCAATAAACTCAACAAATTCAATGAATTTAACTCAAGCAATACAAGACAGCGTCGAGTTGTCATGAATCATAAAGGTTCTAGATGGTTATGTCTATCTCATTTTTCGGTCCTAGTGAAACTAACTCGAACTTGAATTATCGTAAACACCCAAGATCTATAGAGAAAAGGTTACCTCATGCGCAAAGAGGGACGAGAGGCAAGAGGGGCTAATGCTGTGCGGGGCGAGCGGCAAGAGGGGCAAATGCTGAGCGGGGCGAGCGACAAGAGGGGCAATGATGATCTCGGGGTCGATTGTGTATCTTTGTCGACTTTCCTCGCCTCTCGTATTTTCATCTCACATGAAAAAATATGCGCGATTGGCTATAAGCGTAGTGAAAATGCGATATCCCTAGGCTCACGAGAGTGAAAAATCACAGATGTGAGATGTGAGTGCGAGCAATGGTCGAATGTTTGTATATCATATTGTATTATCATATATAACCAAGTACAATCGGCTGTGTTCCAATATTATTTTTATCATTATAATTTATTATAATTTGAAAATAATGAACGTTACTGAGAAAGAAACAAAAGAAACAAAAAGACTTAATGATCCGTTTCATGCAACAATACCCCGATTTTGGACGGATAATGTAGATACAAATAAGATATAAAATATAAATATGTCATATGAATTTATATCCATTGTGCGTTACGTTTGATATCTATATATACCAATTTTTTTATTTCTCTAAAATATTTAATATTTATTTTGTTCATAATATTTTTTTATATTGTCTAATTCTAAATCAAAAATAAAATATAATTTATTTGTATCTATATACCTGTACAATTTGAGAAATGCATTATCCGAGATATCAAATGGATCCTGTGTATCTCTCAATCTTCTCCTTATTATATTTAAATTTCTTTGCTGCCTTTTATTCCTATCTCTCTCATTTTCTTCTATCATCAGCAACATAACCAAATCCATTTTTTATACGCTGGCTCCGTGAGACTGCACAATACGATGCAAATTTGACACAATTTGACTGAATTCGACATCTAAATACTTGTCGAATAATCTCACGTGAAATAATTCGCATTTTCACTATAGTGAAATTTACACAATCAAGTGAATATTCACTTTTGTTATTTTCACTAGGTTTTGAAATACACACAGGGTGTTTACGATAATTCAAGTTCGAGTTAGTTTCACTAGGACCGAAAAATGAGATAGACATAACCATCTAGAACCTTTATGATTCATGACAACTCGACGCTGTCTTGTATTGCTTGAGTTAAATTCATTGAATTTGTTGAGTTTATTGAGCAAATTTTATTGTAATAGAAAAATGTCAACTGCAAATCAGTCTATGAAAGAAACAAATAATGTTGGTATGTATGTTGGTATACCTCTTTAATAAATTAATAATAATATAATTAATAATAATAATAAATGACATTTTTCTATTACAATAAAATTTGCTCAATAAACTCAATAAATTCAATGAATATAACTCAAGCAATACAAGACAGCGTCGAGTTGTCATGAATCATAAAGGTTCTAGATGGTTATGTCTATCTCATTTTTTGGCCCTAGTGAAACTAACTCGAATTTGAATTATCGTAAACACCCACAATCGACCCCCTCATCGTCAAACAGTAGTTGTCTCTCTCGCACGCTTTAGTGTTTTCTTTCTCGCTCCTTTAATATAGAAATGCTTTGAGTTTTTATCGAAAAAATACTTTTATCTTGTAAAATATTGATAGCACTGGAAATTGCGTAATAAAAATTGAAAAGTAAATTAGAAAGGCGCTATAAATTACATACATTGCAAATTATAGCGCTAGATATTTAACGTTTATAATGTTAAATATCGCTGCAACAGATGCATTTGTAATACAAATTGCTTTGTACTCGTATTTAAACTGTAATATTAATGAAAATAAAATATAATTTGTAGATATACACAAAAAACATCATTTGTAAAGTAGTAAAATAAAAGAAAAAATAGTACATATTTAAAAATTATTTTTAAAATAATATTTACTGTTTATATGCATTATTTACAAAAGAAATACTATAAAGAAATTTATTTTTTATATTTAATTGTGAAAACCTCAAAAATTGTCAAAATATTGTAACTGAAATTCATAAATGTAAGTACAATTCTAGGATAATATAAAAAGCATCATACACAAATTTATTATGATACAAACTTAAATAATAAAATTATAATATATGTTTCAACATTGCAAATGTGAATATTTATATGATAAAATTTACAAAGTGTTAACAATTTTCAAATATTTGCTAATAAAATATTATTGAAATGTTTCTGTTGAAATCTTAAAATAATTCTTTAAAACTAATATGATGGGGTATATATTAGGGATCATTAAATATGCGACAACATTGTGATTATAAAATTTTATAAGTATCTATTAAAA